CCGCGGCCGGCCCGCCCCCGAAGAGCGCCGCGGAGGGGGTCCCGGCCCGTGCCGCGGCAGGCCCGCGCCACGGCGAACGGCACGACCTCGCCCAGCGCCGCGCCGAGGCCCGCGCACGCGCCGCACGCCCACGTCGCGCGGAGCAGCGCCGCCGCGGAGGGCGCCGCGGGCCGGCCGCAGTCCTCGAACTCGAGCGGGCTCAGGCGCCAGGAGTCGCCGCGGTACTCGACGCCGTCGACGGAGCCGCCGCAGCCCTCGACGGCGCGCGCGAGCCGCGCGACGTGCGGAAAGAGCACGAGCGCGCCCGTCTGCAAACCGACGCCGATGCCGACGCTCGACAGGATCCCGAGCAGGACGAACCAGCTGCCGTAGCGGAGCCAGAGCGCCGCCTCGCGGGACGCGCAGGCGCAGGCCGCGGCCGCGGCGAAAACGGAGCAGGCGTCGCGGAGCGTCCGCGGGTTCTGGAACGCGGCCGCGACGACGTCGCGGACCGCGGCCGCGCAGTGGCCGAGCACGGCGAAGGGCCGCCGCCGGAGCGTCAGGGACGACACGCTCGCCTTGCCGTGGGGCGTCCGCGGCGGGTAGGGCGTCGCGATCTCCGCGACGATCGGCGGCGGCGGCGGCGGCTTCGCCGGCGACGCGCGCGCGCGCGTCGCCGGCGACGAGGGCGTGCGCGCGTCGCCCGACGACAGCGTGTCATCGGGCGACGGGGGCGGCGGCGGGGAGTCGCGGGGTTCGGGCGCGCGCACGTGGTCGTCCGCCGCGGCGGGGGCGTCGTCGTGTTCTTCCGGTGAATCGACGACCTTCGGCGTCGCGAACGAGAGCCGCCGCTGCGGCTGCGGGCTCACGGAGTGGCGCTTCCGCTGTGCTAGCGACCCTCGAGGGGTGTTCGTGATGTCCTGGAGGCCCGGCATGGTGTGGTTTTTGCCGCCGTTGATGGGCGCGGTCGTGATCACGACCTCAACCGCTCGGCACTGCCGAGCAGCATTGAACAAGCTTGCTTTTCCGATGTTATGGCTCGGCGTCTGGGCTGCGCGCGCCCCGGGCGGCGGGCCCTGGCTCCCGGTCGCGGCCGCCACGGCCTCGGCGCGGTGCCCGCGGCCTGCGGTGCGCGCGGGGCAGCCCTCGTCGGCCCGTCGGTGGCGGCAGCGCGATAGGGCTGCCACACGGTGGCGGCCGCCGGGACGAGGACTTCAGCGTCACTGCGGCGACGCGCGGCTGCTCCGACACCCTTTCCGGCGTCTGTGGCGCTCGGATTCGCGCGCGGGGGCGCGGGGCGGCCCGGACGCCGCTGACTTTTTTTTTTTTGGAGTTTTAACGAATGCTCGCACCTGCTCAGGCGTGACACTCTGGTTGGCTGGCGCCTGTGCGGCTTTGCTCTCTTCCCACGGACCGGTGCGGCACTTGGGACGACGCCGGGGCGTGGCACTCTGACTGGCTGGCGCTGTTTGCTCTCGAGGACTCTGCTGCGAATGTGGTTACGGGCTGGATTGGCACTCGGACAACACCAGGGTTTTTTCGCACTTCGCTTTTCCCAGCCTCCGGCTTTTCTCCCGGTCGGGTTTTCCCGGGGGCGGGGTTTTTCAGCGTCGTGTTTTCGCCCAGTCCTCCGGAAGCTCTTCCCGGAGGGTGCGGTGGCCTCGTCTTCCCAGCCTCGTGTCAAAGGACAAGGCTGTAGTCGACAAAGGGGCGGTGTCAATCCGGTTCCGCATCGTCAACGAGCTGCTCCTCAGAGCACGATGCCGCAACGGCGGTCCCAGGTCGCGGACGAGGTCCCGGCTGCGTACGGACCGTATCGGGCGGAGATCCCCTCTGAGCGGCGGCGAACCGAGAAGGCCGCTCAAGTGAAAGGCGGGCGCCGGGGGGAACTCAGCTCTCTGACCCTGACGGCGGCGTCGGCGCGGTGTCTAGAAACCTCGTGCGTTCTGGCCGTGTCCGGCGCCAATGCTGGATGGAAAACCGGACCCGTCCTGAGTATGGCATGTCCGCGCGGGCCGCGAAGCGAGTCCACGGACTGCGAGTGAGCCCCCGCGCGCCTGGCCCCTCGGAGCTAGATGCCAGCCCGGCCGCCCGTGGCGGTCGCGGCTAGGCTTGGAGTCCCAGTGCCGCGAGGCCTGGTGCCGCAAACCCCCCGGGTAGGCCCTCTAGCTGTTAACCTCTCCTAGCCTAGCCGAAGGAGGGGACAAGCGCCGGAATGTCGCCGGACTTACTTCAGGTTTGACGCGCGCGCGGCGTTCGACGTGTCCATTGTCACGGGATAGCGCGTCTGAAAGCCGGGAACGCCCTCTCTTCGGAACTGTGCGCCGTGACAATGGACACCCTCGCGTTCGTTTTCTATGCGGGCGCAAAGTCGCTACTTTTCGGGTGCTCTCCCAGCACGCCTTCGAGGTGCTCGCAGCGCACTGCGCCCTCCTTTCGGCCGCCGGAGACGTTCGACGAACGCTATTATGATGTGCGAATGCGCGCTGATGCGCGCAGAGGTCTGGTTCGAGGCTGGAGAGCGCATACGGACCCGTCGGGCGCTCACGCCGTAAACGAGAGCGTTTTTTGCGAGCGCGCACCGCGACATAGTTCTGGCCCCGGACGATGGGCGGGATGTCCCCGAGCATGTACCCTACACGTGACGGGCCGCCGAAGGCGTCAGAGCGGTGCAGCGATGCGATCTGGACGCAACAGAGCTGGTTTCAGCCCGGAAGTGGTGCGTTTTGGTGCTGCAAGGACTCATTCGCGTCGCCCGATCACCGTCGCTGCACTTCGCTGGACGATTCGTCATCGCATACCTCCTGGACGGCGTCCTGAACAATCATCGGCGCCAAGATGGTACTCGAAACGTTCGCGCGCTGTCGGCGCCCAGATAGCCGCCGGGGACCCCGTTTTCGGACCTCGTAAAAATCGCGCGCCCGTGCGCTTCTCCGGTGCGCGGCGGCGTGTTTGTCCTTGGGGACGTCCATACGGGTCCTAAAAGAGAGAGGGACGATGCAGAACGTCCCAAATGGCGTCGAAATGTGGCTTCAAGTTGCGGGGGAAACATTCCCCAACGGACCTCAAAAACCAGTGGGCTTCCCCCCTCATCACTGCCGACCTCGATGGTTGCACGAGCAGCTCACGAGCCCGGCTCGATGAACCCAGGTGGGGCAGCCTCTCCGCACCAGCATGGCCGCCGCGCCCCAGCAGCAGTAGACGCGCTCCCTAGCAGCAGTAGACAAGAACATGTGGGAGCGTCTCTCCGCCGCCGCGCGCGACAGCTTCTCCGCGAGCCCGCCGCGCGACGCGCCGGACGCGCCGCCCACACAACCAGCGCCAAAGGTCACCGCCGAGGCCATCGTCTGCCTCTTCGGCGTGCACTTCCACAACCGGCGCGGCAACGAGGTGTCGTGGTCCTGCGCGTCGTCGAGCGCGCCGCCGGCCGTGCGGCGGGCCGGCTTCCTCGACGGCGTCGAGTTCAAGGCCATGCCGTCCGGCGTCGACAAGCTCGACGAGGACTTCGTGCTCTTCCGCCAGCGGGACCTCTACGGCCTCGCGGTCTTCAGCGCGCGGCGCGCGGCGAGCGACGCGCGCGGCGCCATCTACCACAGCGTCGGCGCGCTGGCGACGGAGCACGGCGCGTTGGCGGCCGTCGCGAACGGGCTCCGCGACGCCGCGGAGGCTCTGAACGCGGCGCCCGAGGGCGACCGGCCCGCGGTCTACGCGGCCCTCGAGGCCCGGTACCGGAGCGGCGACCTCGCCCTCGACGCCGCGCCGCGCGACGACGAGGACGACCTGAGCGTGCTGCGGGGCAGCCTGGGGAACCTCGCGTTCTTCTACGGCGCGTCCGTCTTCACGCTGTGGAAGGCCGTGCTGCTGCGGCGGCGCATCCTCTTCTATTCGCCGGTGCCCGTGGGCATCGTCTGCGAGCGGGCCCACGCCGTGAGCGGCCTGCTGGCCCACTCGCTCGACCCGAGCGTCGCGTCGCTCCTCGCCGCGCCCGAGGACGAGCTGCTCTTCGTCAACGTCGCGGACCTGGACGACCTCGCGGCGCGGCGGACCTACGTCGCCTGCACGTCGGAGAAGGTCCTCGCGGACAAGACGCGCGCCTACGACGTCTTCGTCGACAACCGGCGCGTCGTCGTCGCGGGCGACGGCGACGCGCGGGGCGCGCCGCGGACCCCGCCGGAGGACCACATCCCCGGCGAGGACCGCGACGAGGACGACGACCTCGTCTTCCCCTTCCTCAACAGCGTCGTCTTCGGCGAGCGCACGCGGCGGCGGCACCGCGCGTTCGGCGCGCGCCGCGGGTCCGTGACCGCGCCGAGGGTCGTCGCCGACGACGACAGCGCCCTCGCGCTCACGGAGGGCGACCGCCTGCGCTGGCGCGCCATGCGGCGGCGCATGCAGACGCGGGGCGCGGCGGTCGGCGGCGCGACCGCGGACCTCGACGCCGTCGTCGCGGACGCGTTCAGCGCGGCCAACGACCGCGTGCTCGAGGGCCTCCTCGTCGCCGCGCGCACGGGCGTCGACGTGACGACGCTGAGCTCCTTCGAGAGCTTCGGCCTCCACCGCAGCGACCGCGCGTTCCTCCGGGCGCTCGCGGACGAGCTCCGCGTGGACCACCCGGGCTTCAAGGACAGCGCGACGTGGACGTCGGACGCGACGCGGACGCCGAGCCGGCCCCCGCGGCCGCCCCGGGACTCGTGGACGGCGACGCCGAAGCGACAGGCGCCGCCGTTGCCGTAAAAGCGAGGCGTGGTTGAAGTTGGAGTTGAACTGAGAGGCATTCTGCGAGCATATTATGGGTTGCGCAATCGACCTTGCAATTGAGCAAGCCACGTCGAGCAAGTAGAGCTGCGAATCGACGAGTCTCCACGATGCTCACAACGACGATGCGTCGAGCGCTGCTGCTGCTGCTCGTCGCCGGCGGCCGCGCGCTGCAGCGACATCGGCCGACGTTCTCATCGCCGGCCCTCGACGAGCTCGAGCGGGCGGTCGACGCCGCGCTGCTGCCCGGCGTGCCCATCGAGTCGCTCGACGGCGCCGCGAGGGAGAGCGTCGCCGTCGCGCGGCGGCTGCGCGCGCGCATGGACAGCTTCGCCAAGAACGGCGACTGCCGCCGGTGTTGGCTGCAGCGCGCGCACTGCGTCTGCGACCGGTGCGCGCCGCTCGGCGACCTCGGCTCCGCGCGGCGCCTCTTCGTGGTCATGCACCACAAGGAAATCCTATTAGCCGTCGACACGGCGAAGCTCCTGCTCGCCGCGTACCCGGACCGCGCGCGCCTCGTCGTCGGCGGATTGGCGGGCCAGCCGGCGGAGGCGGAGATGCTCGCGTCGATCGCGGCCGGCGAGGCAATAGTGCTGTTCCCCAGCGACAACAGCGTCCCGGCCTCGGCGCTCGACGGGACGCCCCGGGACGTCGTGATTCTCGACGGGACCTGGTCCCAGGCACGGAAGCTCTACAAGCGCCTGCCTGTCGCGCCCGCGGTGCGCCTCGACGCCGCGGACGTCGACGAGCTGGCGACGGGCGCGGGCCGCCAGCTGCGGACGCACCCGACGGCGTGGCGCGAGGTGTCGACGCTGTCCGCCGTGCGGCGCCTGCTGACCGCGCTCGGGAGCCGGACCGCGGGCGCGCTCTCCGGCTACCAGGACGTCGCCGACGCGGCCGCGCGGCGCCAGCTCGGCCCGCCGCGATTAAAAGAGACTTAGAAGTCGAAGCTCGGCATCTGGAACGCGTAGGACGTCGGGTTGCCGTCGTCCGCGTGCTCGTCCTCCGCGCCCGCGGACGCCGGGTCCGCGCCGCTCATGAGCTTGATGATGCGGTTGTGGTTTTTCATGAGGCCCTCGTTCTCCTCTTTCGTCATGGGCGCACCGCCCTCGCGGCCCTCGTCGTACTCGTGGGGCCGCGAGTTCCACGCGTCCCAGCCCGCGACGGTCTGCGGGAACCCCAGCCGCGCGATCGCCGGGCCCCGCACCTTCATCCACACCTCGCCGACGTGCGCCCGGAAGTCCGCCGTCGCCGGATGCGCCGCGCGGACCTCCTTGATCGCGCGCTGCACGGCGCACTGTTTGAAGCCTCGCTCGAAGTTCTTCTGGATCGTCTGCGCGTGTTCCAACGAGAGCACCGCCGGCGGCTCAAGCGGTGCGCCGTCGTCGTTCACGGGCAGCAGCCCCTTGAAGGAGCACCAGCCGCCGTACCTACATTCGTGCCAATGCGCGATACTCCGCCTCGAACTGCACACTGCCAGACTACCAGCCCTCGCTCTCGCCGCCCTTCTTGGGCAGGATCAGGTGCACGCGCAGGTCCGGCGTCTGGACGGCCCAGGACTCGTGGTCGCTCTCGACGACCGCGCCGCGCTTGAGGATCGACGCGCCGGATTCTACGGCGTCGGAGCTCAGCTCGCGGCCGCGGCGCAGCATGAGCTTCTTCGACGTGACGACGTACTTTTTGTAGGCGACGGCCGGCTTGATCCAGAAGTGGGACGGCGAGTCGATCTCGTCCTCGGCGACGGCGAAGGCGTAGTCCCGCGCGATCTCCTCCCGAGCCGCCTCCATGAGCTCGTGGGGACTCGGATCCTTCATCGTCAGCGCGCTGAGTTGGGCAGCCATGCTGGGGCAGCCGAAACGCTCGAGCTCTCCGAAGGCAACTTGAAGCATCGTTGCACCCGTATTTACAGCTCCCCCTCGCCGAATCTCGCGTGGGCCTTGCCGTCGAGGAAGTCGGCGAAGCGGTAGTTCTCGTCGCAGGTGAACCAGAAGCTCAGCGTGAAGCGCGCGCCGCCGACGACGGGCGCGACCGCGTGCTCGTTCTCCGGGCCCGAGCCGAACATGGACACGCGGCCCCGCTTCGGCTCGATCTCGAGGCCGTCGTCGAAGGAGAACAAGCCGCCGGCGAAGTCCACGCCGTAGTCCGAGAGGTAGAGCAACCCGCTGTACTCGTAGTGCGCCGTGTTGTCGCGGTCGACGTGCGGCTGGAAGTAGACGTCGTGCGCCTCCGCCGGCTGCCACGACGTGTTCATGCCGCTCAGGCGCGTGATGAAGGTCGGCGCCGTGAAAAATAGGGGGCGTTCCCGGGAAAAGGCGTCTTCCACCTCGCCCTTGAGGCGGCGGATGACGGACCGGTACAGCGCGTAGTCCGCGTGGTCGAAGAGCGGCGGCGACGCGCGCCGGCCCTGGTACAGGTTCTCGAGGCGCGCGCCGGGCGCCATGACGAAGCCGCTGTTGATGTCGAAGATCGTCGGGCCGCCCGACGACGCGTCCGCGCCCGCCGCGGCCATGCCGGCGTTCGCGATCCGCAAGAGCGCGTCGACCTCCGCCGCGGGCAGCCAGTCGTCGATGACGACGCGGTCGCACTGGCGCGCGCCGCAGGAGCTCGTCGACGCGCAGGGCACGTGCCGCCGCCGCCGGCCCACGGCATCGCTCCGGCGCAGGCGGTCGGGCAGGGGCTCGCTTCGTGCGGCGCTCCGCGCGAGGCGCAGCGCGCGCAGCGCGAGCGTGAGCCCGCCGCAGACGACGCAGAAGATCGCGCTGGCGTAGGCGAGCGCTTTGTTGCCGGTTTTTGTCGGTGTCGCTGGTGTGGCCGCTTTTGTCGTTGTCGCCGTCTTTGGCGACGCTTTTTGAGGCCTCTTTTTAGCTGCCATTGCGATCGATGCGGGTTGACCAGGCCAAAGTTTCCCCAAGGTTGCTCCTAAAGCGCAGTGCCAGAATCGACTGCCAGACGGCGCTGTCACCCGCGAAACAGGACCCCCCATCCCCCCTAGGCACATGGGCCGAGCTTAGCGGCCGCCCGGCGGGGACCAGAAGGAGAGGACGACGACGAGCGCGTCGTGCGGGAGCGCGAGGTTCGACAGGATGCTCATGAGCGGGCGGCGGTGGCGCTCGACTCTTGCATCCCAGCCGCCGGTGTCGATGATGTCCATCATGTAGTCGTGGAGGGCGCTGTTACTCGGCTTAATCTCCACCGAGCGTAAGCCTTTGATGGCCGCGCCGGCGCGCAGCAGCGTCAGGGCGAACTCGCGGTGACCTTTGAAGATGGCAAGACGCAGCGGGGTGGTACCCTGTCGGTCCCTCGCTTCCAGATTTGCGCCGGCGGCGATGAGGAGCTTGGCGGCATCAACGCGTCCTTTGCTAGACGCAAAGTGAAGAGGAGTCAGGAAATTGTGCTCTCGAGCGTTCACGTCTGTGCCCGCACGCAGAAGAAGACGCACGCAGGCAGTGCTGCAAATTTGAGCGGCGTGATGGAGTGAGAAAGCGCCGTCTATTGTGGACTGAATGTTTGTGTCTGCTCCTTCGGCCAAGAGAATTTCGCACATCCCCGCAAGCGCTTCGGACGCCGCGAGATGCAGCAAGGGGAACAGGCCGCGCGCTCCCGTTTTTCTGTCTTCGCAAGGTACCATCCCGTTCACGTCGGCGCCGCGGCGTATCGCGTCGCGCAGCGCGGCTTCGTCGTTTGCCACAATCGCGCGCCTAGCATCATCCACCAACGCCTCCATGCCCGGACCACGCGCGCTCGATCGGCCGCGACTCGAAGGTCAGGCGCGCGGCGTCGATGCGCTGCGGACGGTCAGCGGTGCGTGGGCGGAGGCACAAAGCGAGGCTCGGGTCAGAGACCACTGCTCAAAACATGCCCAAGCAACCCGGGGTCAAAGGTGAAGGCCAAGGAAGCACGGTGTCGACTTTAGCATACGCCAAAACCGGGCCAGCATGGCGCAGCCCACCTCCTCCACGGGCCTCGCCGGCGCGTGGGAGGGGGACGTCGAGCCCCTCTTCGAGCGCGACGAGGCGCCGGTGCGCGCCCGGAACGTCAAGCGCACCCTCGGGCCCGCGCTCCTCTTCCTGGGCTGCGTGGGCAGCATCGGCGTCATGCGGCGCGCGCAGCTCACGTCCCAGTGGCCCTGGGAGGAGATGTCGGAGGTCGGCCGCGTCGCCGTGTCCGTCGGCGCGGGCATGGACGCCGTGCCCACGGTGCTGCCCGACGGCGACGACGGCGCGGCGCCGGCTTCCACGACCGACGACGACGCCGCGGCGTGCGACGCGACGGCCTGGGCCGGCGAGGACTACCAGTACATGTTCGGGGCCGTCTGGGACAGCGACGAGGCCGTCGCGTCCGGCGCCCGGCTCCGGCGCTGGCGCGCGCAGTACGGGTCCGTCTACACGGCGTGCAACGTCTCGGTGTCGCGCCTCGACCTCGTCGACGCCGCGGGCACGACGGTGCCGTCGCCCGACGCGACGCATTGGTTCACGATCGCGTCCGACGCCTACCTCGTCGTCGGCAACGTGTCCGTGACGCTCGAGGCGCTCACGGCGACGGGGACGCGGAGTTTCACGTGCGCGTCGGACGCGGCGGCGGGCGGCTGCATGTACTGGGTCGGCGCGGGCACGCGGCTCCGCGCGTCGGCGAACCGGTCCGCGACGCTCGCCATGCTCACGGTCGGCGAGGCCTCCCTCGCGAACGTCACGGACGAGCGCGCGTCCGACGACGCCGCGCTCATCGAGGACGACCTGAGCTGCGGGCCGCTCTACGCCGTGTCGGGCTCCTGCAGCGGCATGGCCGTCAACGGCGAGTGCCCCGGCGCCCTCTTCGACAACCTCGACGCCGACATCTCGCCGCCGTTCCCCCAGCACTACCACCCGCGCGGCGCGTTCTACTACGTCGTCTCGGGCTCCATGTCCTTCAACGACACGGGCCGCGAGGGCCTCTACATCGGCGCGGGCGACATGCGCTTCGTCAACGCCGCCGTCTACTACGGGCCCGAGGCGGGCAACGCGTCGACGGTCTTCCTGTCGCTCCACGAGCCCGACCCCGCGGCCTACGGGTCCTGGTATCGGAACGGCGCGCTCGAGGCCGGCGGCTCGGCCTGCGACTTCGTCTGCACGTCCGTCCCCGGCGACGACCCCCTCACCTGCACCTAGCGCGCTTTAATCTCGCAGCGTGGTCTCGAGGTACGCGTGGTGGTTCTCCTTGCCCGCCGCGGCCCGCGCGAGGGTCCGCTCGAAGTGGGGGCTCTCGAGGGTCTCGTGGCTCAACGCCGACGCCATCGTCGCCGAGGAGAAGTAGGGCTCGTGGGCCGTCGCCGGCGTCGACGCGATGGACGGCTGCCGCGGCGACGCCCACGCGTAGGACAGGTCCGCCGTCGGCGTCGTCGCCTCGACGGGCGGCGGCGGCGGCGCGTTGGCGCGCCCGAGGCGCCGCGCGGGGCTCGACCACTTGTCGGCGGACGCGCCGCCGCCGCGCCGCTCGAGGGGCCGGCCCGCGGCGACCGCGCACCACTTGGCGAACGCGTGCGCCGCGGCCGCGGCCGCGCGGCGCTTCAGCACGCGCGAGAAGGCCGCGCGCTCGCGGCGCACGACGCGGCCGAAGCGCAGCCAGGCGCCGATGGTGCGGATGAAGACCTGGTGGACGAAGAGGTGCGAGATGTAGACCTTGAGCCGCAGGAACCGCTTCTCGTGCTTGTGGCGCTCGACCCAGGCCACGAAGACCTTCTGCTGGAGGCGGAAGGCGACGACGGAGATGGCCACGAGGGCCTTCTTGCGCCGCTCGTGGCGCTGGTCCAGGTCCTCCTGGAAGTGGGCCTCGTGGACGCGCTCGTACTCGACGACGCGGAGCCACTTGTTGAGGCCCCGCCGCGTCATGCGCGTCGCCTCGACGTCGAGCATGCGGCAGGCGGCGCGCAGCGTCGGCACCTTGGCCAGCGACCGCGCCTTGCGGTAGGAGTGCCACGCGCGGAAGCACGCGGCCCGGTGCCCGCGGCCGCGCGCCTGCTTCCAGCGCGCGGCGCGCGCGCGGCCCGCGGCGCGCCGCGCCCGCAGGGACGCGAGCGCCGAGAAGGCGCGCCGCCGCAGGAGCTGGTCCGCGCGCGCCTCGTTGCGGTGGGCCCAGTACTGCGCGGCGGACCGCGCGGCCGCGGCGACGTCGCGCTCCTTCTCGAGCGCGAGGTGCTCCGCCGCGCGCGCCCACTGGCCGAAGGCCATGGACGACAGGCGCGACCGCATGCGCCCGAGCACGGACCGCACGAGCTGGCGCACGCGCCGCCGGTCGTGGACGTGGAACGTCCACCCGTTGAACGCGCGGCCGAGGCTCAGGTGCAGGAACCGGAGCCGGCAGCGGCCCACGATGACCTCGTGGCGCCTGAAGAGCTCCTCGCGCTCCCGCTCGACCGCGGCGAACTCGACCCAGGACCGCAGGCCCTTGGCGAGGCCGCCGCGCTCGAACTTGGCGAGTACGCGCTGGCACAGCAGGCGCGCGACGCGCCGCTCCTCGCGGAAGTGCTGCCAGGTCGTCAGCGCCCGCGCCGCGCAGTGGTGGCGCACGCGGCGGCGCACGCGGTCCAGGAGCACCTCGCGCTTCGCGAGGCGCGCCGCCTCCGCCTCGCACTCTTTGACGAACGCGACCCACGCGTTCAGGGCCGGGAGCGTCTGCGAGTTCGCGAAGCGGCCGATGATGCGCTTCGCCAGCGCCCGCAGGCGCTTGCGGTCCGCGCAGAAGTGGGCCCAGGCGTTCCAGGACCGCGCGGCCGCGGCGTTGCGGAACCGGCGCCGGCACCGGTCGAGCACGACCGCGTGCCGCTTCTCCCGCTCCTCGCGGTCCCGCAGGGCCCGCGCGGCCAGCACCCAGGCGCGCCACGCCGGCGCTAGGTTCGAGGCCGCGAACCGCGCGAGCACGCGGCGCACGAGCACGCGCAGCCACTTGACGTCGCGCACGAAGTCCGTCCAGGACCGCAGCGCGCGGCTCGCGCGGCCGTGGACCATCTTCTGGCGCACGCGGTAGACGACCAGGGCCTGGCGCCGCGCCTCGTCCTCGCTGAACTTGAGCTCCATGACCGCGAGGCGCCACTTGCCCAGCGCGGGCGCGCACGCGTCGCCCGTGAAGCGCCGCGCGGCCTGCCTGACGAGCTGCCGCGCGCGTTTTCGACTCTGCACCATGTGGGTCCAGGCCGCGTAGGCCCGGCCGATGCGCTGGTTCAGGAAGCGCCGCCGGCAGCGGTCCACGACGAGGTCCTGGCGCCTCCGCTCCGCGTCGCGCCGCGCGCCGCCCTGCGCGTGCAGCAATAAACTCCGGAACGCGGGGTGGAGCCTCGCGTGCAGGAAGCGGCCGCCGGCGTGGGCCAGCAGCGACCGCAGCCGCTTCCGCTCGCCGACGAAGTGGGTCCAGCCGTTGAGGGCCTTGTAGGCCAGCGCGTGGGCCATGCGCTGCCGCGCCGCGCCCAAGACGCGCTCCGCGTGCCTCGCGTGGACCATGGCCGCGCTCCACGTCGAGAACGCGGGGAAGATCGTCGCGTGCTCGAAGCGCCGGATCGTCTTCACGGAGAGCGCCCGCAAACGCTTGCGGTCGTGGACGAAGTGCGTCCAGGAGCTGAAGGCCTTCGTCGACGTCCGCATGAGCCAGCGGCGCCGCACGCGGTCGACGACGGCCGCGTGGCGCTTCTCGGATACCAAGGCCTGCCGCAGGGCTTCGTTGATGGCGCGCCAGCGCCGGAGGGCGCCGACGAGCGAGCCCACGGCCGACGCGTGGAAGACGCGCTTGAGCACGGACCGCGCCTGCCTCCGCTCCCGGGCGAATCGGTCCCAGGTGCCAAAGGCCGAGAAGCTCAACTTCGCGTTCCAGCGGCAGCGGTAGCGGAAGAGGACGACGCGCTGCCGCTTCCAGACCTTGACCGCGGACCGCCACGCGTCGACGACCCGCCCCATGATGCCGCCCGTCCAGAGCCGCAGCGCGCGCCGCTCGCGCTCGCGCGACTCGCGGGACCGCGCGTCGTCGAGCGTGTGGCCCGCCTGGACGACCTCGTCGTGGAGCGCGGCCCGCAGCTCCGCGTGCGCCGCGCGGCGCCAGACCGTGAAGCCCTGGATCAGCGCGCACCGCTTCTTCCGGGCGACGAGGCTCAGCGCCAGCCGCACGGCCGCGGCGTAGGACGCGTCGTCGGCGGCGAGGCGGAAGCGCGTCGCCGCGCGCACGGCCTCGACGAACTTGCCCCAGGTCGCCCAGGCCTTCATCGCCGCGCCCTGCGTGAGCCGCCGCAGCGCCATCGTCACGAGCGTCCTTAACCGCCGCCGCGTCGCCGCGTTCTCGCGCCAGCCCGCGAGGGCCTTCGCCTTCGTCGCGAGCAGCATCTTCAGCGCCGCGCGCTTCACGAGCACCTCGTAGCGCCGCCGCTCGCGCGCGTGGTGCGCTAGCGTCCGGAACGCCGGGCCGAGCGTCGAGTGCAGCAGGTGCTGCAGGATGCGCGTCACCGTGCCGCGCAGGCGCACCTTGTCGGCGACCTTGGACGCCCAGCCCGCGAAGGACCGGTGCGCGAGGCCGTGGACCATGCGCCGGCGCACGCGGTCGACGATGGCCTCGTGCCTCCGGCCCTCGCGCGCCTCGGCCCGGATCTTCGCGAAGGCCTTGGCCGTCTCCTTGTTGGCCAGGTTCCCGAGCACGCGGCGCACGAGGCTCCGGAGGCGCCGCCGCTCCGTGGCCATGTGGACCCACGCGTTATAGGACCTGTGGAGCGTCGCGAAGAGCATGCGGCGCCGCACCTGGTCGAGGATCGTCTCCTTGCGCGCCGCGTCGGCCTCCTCGCGCTTCGCCGCGTCCACGAAGAGCACCCAGGACCGCAGCGCCGGCGCCGCCTCGGCCGCGAGGAAGCGGCCCGCCGTGCGCTTGACCAGGCTCCGCAGGCGCTTCCGCTCGCGGACCATGGCCGTCCACGCGTTGAAGGACCGCGTCGCCAGGGCGTCCTTGAGCCGCCGGCGCACGCGGTCCAGGAGCACGTCGCGCCGCCGCGCGTCCGTCTCCTCCTTCTTCGCCGCGGCGACGCGGAGCCACCACGCGCGGAGCGCGGGCGCGAGCGCGCCGCCGCGGAGCCGCGCGACCGTGCGGCTCACGAGCGCCCGGAGCCGCCGCCGCTCCGTCCACATGGCGACCCAGGCCTGGTAGGCTCTATGGGCCGTCGCGTTGCGCATGCGGCGGCGCATCTTGTCGAGCAGGCGCGCGCGGCGCCGCTCCTCGGCCTCGGCGAAGCGCGCCTCCATCTCCTCCCGCTTCACGGCCCCGACGAAGAGCGCCCACTGGCGCACGGCGAGCGTCAGGGGCCGCGTCGTCGAGCTCATGCGGCTCACGAACTTGCGCACGAGCTTGCGCAGCCGCGACCGCTCGCCCGCGCCGTGGACCCAGCCCTGGAACGCCTTGTGCGCCAGCGCGTTCCGCAGCCGCCGCCGGCACCGGTCCACGGCCTTCTCCCGCAGCAAGGCCAGCTCGTCGTCGCGGCGCTGCGCCTCGGCGAAGACGACCCAGGACCGGAACGCCGGCGCGCCTAGGGCGCCGTCGATGCGCCGCACGGACCGCGTGACGAGCGCCCGCAGCCGCTTCCGCTCCGTCGCGGCCGCGCGCCACCCGGCGAGGGCCCGCGCCTCCGTCGCGTGGAGGTAGCGCCGCCGGAAGCGGTCCAGCGTCACCGCGCGCTTCCGCTCGTCGGCGATCTCGCGGTCGAGCGCCCGCAGGTAGAGCACCCAACTGCGGAACGCGGGCGCGACCGTGGACGTCGCGAAGCGCCGGATCGTCCGGTTGACGAGGTCCCGCGCGCGCCTGCGCATGTCGCGCACGAAGACCCAGGACCGGAAGCTCTTGGCGACGAAGGCGTGGCGCAGGAGCCGCAGCGCGCGCACCTCGAGGTCGCGCGCGCGCTCCCGCCGGCTCCGGAAGGCCGTGAGCCACGCGAACCAGACCCGCGACAGCGACTTGCCCGCCCAGGCCGCGAAGAGGCCCCGCGCCGACGCCTGCTTCGACCGCGCCTTCTGCTCCAATAATTTCTTGAGCTCGCGCTCGCCGTGCTGGAGCCGCGCGGCCAGGTCGTCGGCCCGGTCGCCGAGGGCCTCGAGCTCCGCGTCCTTGAGCAGCTCCACCTTGCGGCGCCACTTGCCGAAGCCCGGCGCGAGGACGCGGTGGACGACGTGGGCCGCCGCGCGCACGGCCAGGAGCCGGAGCCGCTTCCGCTCGCCGACGAAGTGCGCCCAGCCGCCCCAGGCCTTGTGCAGGAAGCCGTCGAGCCAGCGCTTCCGGACGCGCGCGAGCATGACCTCCCGCTTCTTGCCGTCGGCGACGAAGGTCCGCCAGGTCTCGAAGCCCGGGAGCACGAGCGCGTGTTGCATGCGCGTCGCCGTCCGCGCGGCCAGCCGCCGGAGCCGCTTCCGGTTCCGCGCGAAGGACTCCCAGCTGTTGAAGGCCGCGTGCGCCGACGCCATGAGCCAGCGCCGCCGCACCTTGTTGAGGAGCTTCTCGCGCCGCGCGACCTCGAGCTCCGCGGCCTCGGACGCGGCCGCGAACGCGCGCCAGCCGCGCCACGCGCGCGACACCGTCGCGTCGCGGAAGTTCGCGCAGGTGCGCTTCACGAGGGACCGCAGGCGCTTCCGCTCGTCGACGAAGCCGACCCAGGTCCGGTACACGGCGGCCTCGCGCGCGTGGAGCCACCGCGCCTTCGCGCGATCGAATGCCACCTGGCGCGCGGCCGCAGCCTCCTCGGCGCGCCGCGCCGCGTCGGCGAATCGATCCAGGACCGGAACGACGGCGCGACGGCGTGGCCCGCGAGCCGCGCGGCGCACTTCTTCACGAGCGCTCGTCGANAAATCCGTCACGCGCCGAGGCTCCGCGCGGTGCGCATGTGGAGCCAGCGCCGCCGGCAGCGGTCGAGGCCGATGGTCCGCGCCTCCTTGGCCCGGGCCGCGTCCCGCAGGGCGGCGGCCCGGGACCGCCACGTCGAGAACGCGAGGCTCTCGCCGTTCTTGCTGAAGCGCGAGAAGATGCGCTTCGCGAGGCCCCGCAGGCGCCGCCGCTCGCGGGCCTTGGCCGCCCAGCCGTGGAGCGCCGCCGTCTCCGTGCGCCGGAGCCAGCGGCTCCGCACGCGCGCGAGCTGCTCGTCGCGCTTCGCCTCGAGGCGGCTCAGGTTCCGGTCCGCGTGGCCCTTCTCCCGCGCGAGGAGCCGCTCGAGGTCGGCGATGCGCTTCGCGTCGTCGTCGCAGCGGGCCCGCGCGGCCCGGAGCTCGTCGACGGCCAGCGCCGTGCGCAGCGCCGCGTTCCGCGCCGTGAGGATCGCCGCGTGCCGCGCCCAGACCCCAAAGGCCTTGCGCGCGGGCCGCTCCTCGACGAGGTTGCGCGCCAGGGCCGTCAGCAGGCGCGCGCCCGCGCCCAACCGCCGCTGCATGCCCACGCTGAGCTCCTCGCGCGCGCGCGCCGCGAGCCGGCCCTCGCGGCGCCGCACCGTGTCGCGGAGCGAGCTCATGGAGAACATGAAGCTCGACCGCTCGTGCTCCACCAGGCTAAAGACGATGGACACGATGTGCTGCACGTCCTTGGCCCGCGCGAGGTCGCCGTCGCTGAGGCCCTCGCCGCCCTCGGCGGCGCCGACGTAGAGCACGCGCTCGAGCTCCGACTGGAGCTTCTCGTAGATCGCCGCGAACTTGGCGGGCTCCGCGAGGCTCAGGGACGCGACGGAGAGGGCGTTGCCCCGCGTGAGCTGCTCGATGACCTGGTCGACGATGATCGCGTGGTCCTTCTGGAGCGACTCGACGGAGAACGACAGCGGCCGCGGCGCGCGGCCGCCGCCGCCGCGGCCCGCGCTCGCCGCCGCGACGCCCCGCGACGACGGCGGGTACCAGGGCGCGCGCTGCGGCGTCGACCGCGGCCGCCGGCCCACGTGCGGGCTCGCGTCGCGCGGCCCGCGCGACGACGCGGCGCTCCGCCGCGACGACGCGCCGTCGGCGTCGCCCCGCGACCGCGGCCGGTAGTCCTCGTACTGGAGCGACGCCTCCACGGTGGCGACGCTCGGGCTCGAGTGGTCCAGGCCGAAGAGCGTCTTCACGGCCCGCGACGGCGTGCGCGACGCTTCGGAGGCCGCCTCCATCGCTGTTTCGCTTTTTGTTATGGGGACGGGCTGCTCGCTTGCGGCCTTTTGTGTGCGCTGCTGCTTCGAGCCGCCGTCCGCGACCTACCGTCGACCGCGCTCGGGCGAAACCGAAACGCCGCCGACACGCGGACGAGGAGGATGGCTCTCTGCCGCCCGGGGCTGCCTCGCACGTTTAGGACAGCGCTGGGCAGCGAGCCAGGCGGTGTATCTAATCCGTTTGACGGCAACTTTAACGTTGAACGAGGCTCGAGCTCGAGCTCTCGAGGGTGGGCGCAGCCCTGTACGATGGCCGCGGCCCCCGAGTCGATCCCGGCGGACGTCGTGCGCCGCCTGCTCGCGGCGTACGGCGTTGACGTGCACAAGAATAAGTTTTTTTTGTGCCGCCGGGAGGGGGGGGACTCGCCTTGTCGCCCCTCTCCCCGGATTAAATCCTATGGGACGCTGCTGCACAAGGCGGCCAAGGACGGGGACGTCCTCATGATCGAATCGGCCCTCGCGAGTGGGTGCGAGGTGGATCGTCAGGATACCACCGGAAGGTCTGCCCTTCACATAGCGGCTTCGCATGGGCGCGTCGACGTGGTGCGCGTCTTGCTCGCCGCGGGCGCGGACCCGAATCGCCTTGAAGGAGTTTTCGAAGAGCGTTGGACGCCCCTCCTGTTTGCGGCATACGTTGGGCACGTAGCCGTCATACGTGTGTTGCTGGAGGGTGGTGCAGACGTGATGTGCGTGGACATTTGTGACCTGACGCCTCTGCACGTCGCAGCTCAGCGGGGTCATCCCGCCGCGGTTCGGGTCCTCCTCGACGCGGGGGCAGACGCCAATGCTACGGGCGGTGCCCCGCCGCTCTATTATGCTTTGTTTGAGAACCACCGCAGCTGCCTCGGGCCGCTCCTCCAAGGCGGCGCAAACTTCGACGAAAAAAGTGTAAAAGATGAATTGGAACTCGCGAGGCGCGACGATTACCACAACTCCGCCTTTCACTACATGTACCGCGTCCAGGCCGCCGGCGGCTACGACCAGCTCGTGCAAACGTACCGCCACGTCCTCACGGTGCCCCAGAGCTGCCTCTCCTGGTTCCTCAAATTCCACTGCGAGATCCGCTTCGGCCTCGGCGCGTTCCCGCACGACCTCGTGCCGCTGGTCCTCGCCTTCTGGAAGCCACCGGGTGGCCCGTAGGGCCAGGTTCAGTCGTTATCGAGGAACGCGAGGAGCGAGGGGTTGGCCGGGGCGTCGTTGGGGATGTCCTCGAGGACGTCCGCCGGCGCGTCCTGCCCGAGGGGCGCGCGGATGCTGACGCGCTTGAGCGCGTGCTCGAGGTTCTCCTCGAGGGTGCGGTCCTTGTCCCAGGCGAGGTCCGCGAGCTCCGCCTCCGTCGGCGGCGGCCCGGCGGGCGCGTCGACGTCCAGGCCGTCGCCCGAGTCGTCGGAGTCGCGCTCGTCGTCGTCGTCGTCGTCGTCGGAGCTCGAGACGGCGGCGGCGCCGGAGCCGACGGCGGCGCGGACCTTGCGGAGGAGCTTCCGCTCCTTCTTGAGCTCGTGGCGCCGCCGCAGGTCGTCGATGTCCTTCTTGAACTGGCGGCCGGCCTTCTCGTCCATCGCGTCTTGCGTCGGCGTCCGGTTCCGCGGGTACTCGACGGGCCGGTCGGCGCCCTCGAGGAGGCGGTCGACGTCGACGGTCTCGCCCGACGCGAGGTCGCTGAGCTCCGCGACGGACTTGCGGCTCCCGGACGCGGACCGGCGCTCGGACCGGCGCTCGGCCTTGTGCTTGACTGCGTCGACGTCGATGCGCACGCGCGGCGGCGTCCACGCCTCGCCGAGGCGGCCCTTGAGGATCGGCGACGGCACGGGCGGCGCCGGGTCCGTCGACGCCGCGAGGTCCTCGATGCGCGGGCACTCGTCCTCGCTGTCCGACGCGTCGGCGGGGGACGGATCGCGGTAGTCCCAGAGCTTCGCGTTCTTGAGGTCCGACTCGGGCAGCACCGACGCGCCGAAGTCCGCCTCGCTGATGCGCACGTCCGCGAAGGTCCGCTCCTCGGCCGGCGCCGCGGCCGCCGCCGGCGCCGCGGCCGGCGCCGCGGCCGCCGCGGCCGCCGCGGGCCAGGCGTCCTCGTCCTCGAGCGCCGCGCGCGCGAGCGCGTCGGCGAGCGCGTCGCCGTCGACGTCGTCGTCGAAGCCGCGGATCGCGCGCGCGTCCCAGGCCTCGTTGATGGCGCCCAGGGAATTCCAGACGTCGGAGAGCTCGTGCGTCGCCCACTTGTCCTTGCGCCGCTTCTCCTCGGCCTTCCTGCGCAGCTCCTTCTTCGTGAGCCGCGGCGGCGCCAGCGTCGCGCCCACGGAGAACATGGTGCTGCGCTGGCGGCGGCGGCGGCGCTCGCGGTGCGCGTCGGCGGCGGCGGCGGCGCTCTCCGAGGCGGCGGCCGGCGCTCTCCGAGGCGAGCTCGATCGAGCTCTCGAGGCAGCCCCACCGCCGCGGCGCCGGCGTGGCCGCGGTCGCCGTCGCATCCGACGCGGCGGCAGCAGCGTCGTCCGCCTCCAGTCGCGCCGACGCATAAAGAGGCAACGAATGGCGGAGCTCGTCGCGGCGTCGGCGCCGCCGGTTGCGGGCGACGCCGTCGCGTCGCCGATCACGGCGGAGCAAAAGGTGGACCTGCTCGAGAAGCTGGCGCTCGTGAGCAAGCAGTGGAAGGCCGACGACTTCTGGAAGACTTTGGCGAACCCCGTGGACCGCGCCATGGCGGCCCTCGAGAAGGACGACGTCAAGTACGCGTGCGAAACCCTGGACGCGCTCATGATGCACCTGCCCGGCGGCATCGTCGGCCCGCTCAAGGGCCTGCCCACGGACGGCATCCTGTCGGAGCAGAAGAAGGTCGTGCGCGTCTGCCGCGACGCGCTGCGCAAGGCGCTGACGCCCGAGCGGCCGCCGCCGCCGCCGCAGTCCGAGCCCATCGTCTTCGAGCAGCACCCCTGGAACTCCGAGGCGACGCTGCGCATCAAGGTCCCGCCGGGGACGAAGAGCAAGGACGCGAGCGTCGACTTCGCCTTCGCTACGGAGAAGGAGCGCCGCGACGGCCACAGCCAGCACATCAAGGTCGTCGTGAAGGACCACGACGCGCAGCCCCACGTCATCTGCGGCGTGCTGTTCGAGAAGGTCGTCGAGGACGACTGCGCCTGGTTCCTCGAGGGCGAGGGCGAGCGGCGCATTTTGGTGATCCACCTCGAGAAGCACTACAAGAAGAAGGAGTGGCCCCAGCTGTTGAAGGCGCTCGGGCCGCCCGAGGCCGGCTCCATCGAGTCCGGCGACGACTTCTGGTCGCGCCACGACCGCGAGCACGCCGAGCGCTACAAGAAGATGGGGCTCGTGAGGAAGGAGCCGTGAGGGGTAAGGCTCGTGGTCATGGCAATGCGGGGTGCGCTTTCCTTTTTCAGTCGATGGTGCCGCAGTCGTCGATTTTCATTGGACACCTCACCGCTCTGTCGCCCGGCGTGGCCAAAACAAGTTTTCCAGCATCCGCGCCGTCCGCGTGTCGCCCGACACGCAGCAAACGCGCCGTCTCTTAACACACCGCTGATGTGCAAGCCCGGAGACATGCCGAAGGACGAGGGCGACTACATGGGCGTGCCGCTCGCGACCCTCCTCGACACGTCCATGGCGACGGGCCTCAGCGAGGAGGAGGCCCGCAGCCGTCTCGCGCGCTTCGGCCGCAACGCGCGTTGGACAGCGTCCTGTGGCCGTGACGATTTTCGAGATAGTTGAGGTGGGAAAACAATGAGAAATCGTCACCGTCATGCTTGGTAGGCGCTCGAGGAGAAGAAGGTCCACCCGCTCGTGAAGCTCGCCTACAACTTCGTCAGCCCCATGGCGCTCATGATCTGGGCGGCCATCGTCATCGAGGGCATCATGCTCGACTGGGCCGACGTCGGCGTGCTCCTCGCGCTGCAGATTCTGAACGCGGTCGTCGGGTGGTACGAGGATCTCAAGGCCGGCGACGCCGTCGCGGCGCTCAAGGCGTCCCTCAAGGCCCACGCGTCCGTGAAGCGCGGCGGCACGTACAAGACCATCGACGGCGCCGAGGTCGTCGTCGGCGACGTCGTCGTGCTCCACGCGGGCGGCGCGGTCCCGGCCGACTGCCGCCTCGCGCCGGGCGCCAAGGAGCTCGAGATCGACCAGGCGGCGCTCACGGGCGAGTCCATGCCCGTGAAGATGGGCCCGGGCTGCGAGCCGAAGATGGGCTCGAACTGCGTCCGCGGCGAGGCCGAGGCCGTCGTCGTCGCGACGGGGTCGCAGACGTTCTTCGGCAAGACCGCGTCCATGATCAACAAGGTCCAGCAGACTTCCCACTTCGACGATGTCATCATGGCCATCACGCGGTCCATGCTCCTGGCGTCGTCCGTGCTCGTCGCCATCTCGCTCGTCGTCTTGGTGTGCAGCGGCGAGTCGTGGCTGGAAGCGCTGGCCTTCGCCGTCGTGCTGCTCGTGGCGTCCATCCCCATCGCCCTGCCCGTCGTGTCCGTGACGACCATGGCCCTGGGCTCGCGGAGCCTGGCGCGCAAGGAGGCCATCGTGACGCGGCTGTCGTCCATCGAGGAGGTCGCGGGCATGAACGTGCTCTGCAGCGACAAGACGGGCACGCTCACGCTGAACAAGATGGTGCTCCAGGACGAGCTGCCCATCTTTACGCCGGGCTACGGCAAGCGCGACGTCCTCGTCCACGCGGCCCTCGCGGCCAAGTGGCGCGAGCCGCCGAAGGACGCGCTCGACACGCTCGTGCTCGGCGCCGCGGACCTCGACCGCTGCGACGCCTTCGACCAGCCCGAGTACGTGCCCTTCGACCCGCGCACGAAGCGCACGGAGGCGACGCTCGTCGACAAGGGCTCCCAGGAGACCTTCAAGTGCAGCAAGGGCGCGCCGCACGTCATCCTCGCGCTCGCCGAGCCGCCGGCCGCGGTCAGGGCGGCCGTCGAGGCCGAGATCGAGACGCTCAGCGCGCGCGGCGTGCGGTCCCTCGCCGTCGCGCGCACGAAGCCCGGCGACGCGTCGCGGTGGGACCTGCTGGGCATCCTCACGTTCCTCGACCCGCCGCGGCCGGACACGGCGGCTACCATCGCGCGCGCGGAGCAGCTCGGCGTCGGCGTGAAGATGATCACGGGCGACCACAAGGCCATCGCCGTCGACATGGCGAAGCAGCTCAAGATGGGCTGCCGCATCGAGGGCGCGGAGGGGCTGCCCGAGTTCGACGTCGAGAGTGGCGAGATCCCCCAGGATCTCGGGGACCGGTACGGCGCCATGATCGAGGCCGCCGACGGCTTCGCGGGCGTCTTCCCGGAGCACAAGTTCCTGATTGTCGAGGCGCTGCAGCAGCGCGGCTACATGGTCGGCATGACGGGCGACGGCGTCAACGACGCGCCCGCGCTCAAGAAGGCCGGCGTCGGCATCGCCGTGTCCGGCTCGACGGACGCGGCGCGCGCGGCGTCGGACATCGTGCTCACGAACGACGGCCTGTCGACGATCGTCGACGCCATCGTCATCTCGCGGACCATCTTCCAGCGCATGAAGAACTACGTCGTCTACCGCGTCGCGTGCACGACGCAGCTCCTCCTCTTCTTCTTCATCACGGTCTGCTTCGTCCACCCGACGGGCTACGGCGGCTGGGACGACGACACCCTCGACGACGAGGCCCAGCCGCCCAAGGTCTTCAAGCTGCCGGTCGTGGTCCTCGTGCTCATCACGATCCTCAACGACGGCACGATCATCTCCATCGCCTACGACGCGGTGAAGCCGTCCAAGTTCCCGGAGAAGTGGCGCATGCCCCAGACCTTCGCCATCGCCTTCATTTTAGGCGGCGTCGCCTGCGTGTCGTCGCTGCTCCTGCTGCACGTCATGCTCGACTCGCGGTCCGACGGCTCGGTCTGGCGGGGCTTCGGCCTGCCGGCGCTGTCCTACGGCCAGCTCATGTGCGCCATGTACCTGAAGATCTCCGTGTCCGACTTCCTCACGGTCTTCTCCGCGCGCACGCGCGGGCCCTTCTGGTCGCGCGCGCCGGGCACGTTCCTCTTCGCCGCCGCGTTCGTCGCGACGTTCCTGTCCACGGTCATCTCGCTGGCCTGGCCCAAGAAGTCCGACGGCATGGAGCCCATCGGCGCCGAGGTCGTCGTCGCCGTCTGGGCCTTCGACGTCGCCTTCTTCCTCCTCCAGGACCTGTCGAAGGTCCTCTTCATCAAGGCGATCAACTCGTACACGGGCGAGAACGAGGACGACCACAAGATCGACGACGGCGAGGAGCCGCCGGAGTCCATCGTCGCCGCCTACCGCCGGGCGAAGCACAAGATCTGGAAGACGAAGGGCGCCGACCAGACGCACTACCAGAACCTCTCCATCCAGGACGACTTCGCCGACACCGTCTAGCGCGGGCGCCGCCCCGCGCGTGCACATACCTCCCGGCGCGACCCGGACGCCGCTTTTTTCTACTACACTATCTATCGTTCTACGCTCTGGGCGGCGGCGGGACGGGGCGTCCATCCAGCCGCCCGTGGCACGGAGGCGATGGCCGGGGCTGCCAGGCGCAGGTGGCTGCGAGTCGCCGCGGCGGCCTGGAGGCCGGCGCGCGCGGGGGAGGGGGTGCAAGCAGGTGTGGCGGGTGCCGCCTGGGCGGCTATGTGCAGTGTGGAAGTCGACGCCGACGCGCGGGGCGTCGGCGGCGGCGTCCGAGGGCGGACGTCGCCGGGCGGCGTCCGCGCGGTGCGGGAGCAGCCGCGAGGTCGTCGTCGTCGTGTTCTCGTCGTTCTCATCTCGTCGTCGTTCTCATCTCGTCGTTCTCATCTCGTCGTCCTTCTCATCTCGTCGTCGTGTTCTCTCGTCGTCGTGTTCTCATCGTCCTCTTCTCGTTCTCATCTCGTCGTCCTCATCTCGTCGTTCTCATCTCGTCGTCCTCTTCTCGTTCTCATCTCGTCGTTCTCGTCGTGGTCTCTCGTCGTCGTGTTCTCGTCATCCTCTTCTTGTTCTCATCTCGTCGTCCTCATCTCGTTATTTGCAGAAGCCGCACGACGCCGCGCAGTTATCGATCATGTAGTCCCGGTTCGCGTCGCACATGCCCGCCGCGGCCTCTTCGCCGCAGAAGGATTCGGTATCCTCGCAGGCCTTGCAGGCCCCCCCTGCCACCTCAGGGGCCCAGGGCGGGCACGATTGGCCTTCCGCGAAGGCGGTGGCGTCGGTGAACATATAATACATATTGTCCTGCGCCGTCACGGACGATGGGTTCCAGCCGCTGATGTCCTGGTCGAAGGCGATGGCGCTGGAGAACATTCCGTAAAACCATTCCACCTTCGACACGTCCCAGTCGCCGATGTCCTGGTTGAAGACGGTGGCGCCGGAGAACATTCCATTCATATACGCCACCTTCGACGTGTCCCAGCCGCTGATGTCCTGGTCGAAGGCGATGGCGCTGGAGAACGCGCCGCCCATGTCCGTCACCTTCGACGTGTCCCAGGGGCCGATGTCCTGGTCGAAGGTGTCAGCCCAGGCGAACATGTTGCCCATGTCCGTCACGCTCGACGTGTCCCAGCCGCTGATGTCCTGGTTGAAGACGGTGGCGTCGGAGAACGCGCCGCCCATATACGTCACCTTCGACGTGTCCCAGCCGCCGATGTCCTGGTCGAAGGCGATGGCGCTGGAGAACATTTCGTAAAACCATTCCACCTTCGACACGTCCCAGGCGCCGATGTCCTGGTCGAAGGCGATGGCGCTGGAGAACATTCCGTAAAACCATTCCACCTTCGACACGTCCCAGGCGCCGATGTCCTGGTTGAAGACGGTGGCGTCGGAGAACGCGCCGAACATGTCCGTCACCTTCGACGTGTCCCAGCCGCTGATGTCCTGGTCGAAGGCGATGGCGCTGGAGAACATTCCGTTAAACCCTTCCACCTTCGACACGTCCCAGGCGCCGATGTCCTGGTTGAAGACGGTGGCGTCGGAGAACGCGCCGAACATGTCCGTCACCTTCGACGTGTCCCAGCCGCCGATGTCCTGGTCGAAGGCGATGGCGCTGGAGAACATTTCGTAAAACCATTCCACCTTCGACACGTCCCAGGCGCCGATGTCCTGGTCGAAGGCGGAAGCACTGAAGAACATCCAGTACATGTCCGTGACCTTCGACGTGTCCCAGCCGCCGATGTCCGCGTTGAAGGCGGTGGCGCCCTCGAACGTGCCGTACATGTCCGTCACCGACGACGTGTCCCAGCCGCCGATGTCCTGGTTGAAGGTGTAGGCGTTTCTGAACGCGCCGTCCATGTCCGTCACCTTCGACGTGTCCCAGCCGCCGATGTTCTCGTTGAACGCGGGCAAATCAGGTCGCATGGGGTCCTCTCCGAACATCGCATACATGTCCATGACCTTCGACGTGTCCCAGACGGGGAGGCGGCCGTACTGGACCTTGGCGCTCGTCGCGTTCTCCTGCCAGGCGGCGAGCATGTCGTGGAGCTCGTCGCTGTCCGCGACGGGGTACATCGCGTCGGTACCGTCGCACGCGAAGCCGGCGGGGCACGCGAGGCACGCGTTCGCGTCGACGTACTTGTCCGCGGCGCACTTGGTCGCGGTGGTGCCGTCGCAGGTGTGGCCCGCGGGGCAGTCCGCGCACTCTCTGCCGTCCGCGTACTCCTCAGCGGCGCACGCGTCGACGCAGACGCCCCCCGCCGCCTCGGGGCTCGTGTCGGACGCCTCGAGGCCCTTGAGCGCCAGCGCGATCCCGGCGAGATCGGCTTCCGAGGCCGTCGGATGGAAGTCCTTGAAGATCGCGACCGCGGCCTCGACCGGGTAGGCCTTCTTGTTCAGCTTGACGCCCCCCGCCGCCTCGGGGCTCGTGTCGGACGCCTCGAGGCCCTTGAGCGCCAGCGCGATCCCGGCGAGATCGGCTTCCGAGGCCGTCGGATGGAAGTCCTTGAAGATCGCGACCACGGCCTCGACCGGGTAGGCCTTCTTGTTCAGCTTGACGCCCCCCGCCGCCGTGGCGAAGGTGAAGGCGCAGGAAAGTACGGTCGCGCGGATGATGACGTGCATGGTCGAGATTGCGGGTGCCTGCGGGGGAATCGACGCGGTTCCGCGGCGACGATCGACAGACGAGGCGCGCGAATCAGGGGTTGAAGACCTTTCAGGCACGTCCGCCGACGGCCGGGAGGCCGGCCGCCGGACGCGCCACGGAAGAGCGAGTCGCTCTTCCGCGTCGTCGAGGTGCCCGCCGCGGACCACGCCGCCGGCGGGCCGCGAGGTGGGAGGCCGGGCTTGCATGCGCTTGGCGTGCACCGAGGACTCGAAGACGTAGCGGAGCGGGTCCCGGCGCGCCGGCCGCCGGCCGCGCCGAGTCGCTCTTCGCCGTCGTCGAGGTGCCCGCCGCGGACCACGCCGCCGGCGGGCGACGAGGTCGGAGGCCGGGCTTGCATGCGCTTGACGTGCACCGAGGACTCGAAGACGTAGCGGAGCGGGTCCCGGCGCGCCGGCCGCCGGCCGCGCCGAGTCGCTCTTCGCCGTCGTCGAGGTGCCCGCCGCGGACCACGCCGCCGGCGGGCCGCGAGGTGGGAGGCCGGGCTTGCATGCGCTTGGCGTGCACCGAGGACTCGAAGACGTAGCGGAGCGGGTCCCGGCGCGCCGGCCGCCGGCCGCGCCGCGCAAGAGCGAGTCGCTCTTCGCCGTCGTCGAGGTGCCCGCCGCGGACCACGCCGCCGGCGGGCCGCGAGGTCGGAGGCCGGGCTTCCATGCGCTTGACGTGCACCGAGGACTCGAAGACGTAGCGGAGCGGGTCCCGGCGCGCCGGCCGCCGGCCGCGCCGCGCAAGAGCGAGTCGCTCTTCGCCGTCGTCGAGGTGCCCGCCGCGGACCACGCCGCCGGCGGGCGACGAGGTCGGAGGCCGGGCTTCCATGCGCTTGACGTGCACCGAGGACTCGAAGACGTAGCGGAGCGGGTCCCGGCGCGCCGGCCGCCGGCCGCGCCGCGCAAGAGCGAGTCGCTCTTCCGCGTCGTCGAGGTGCCCGCCGCGGACCACGCCGCCGGCGGGCCGCGAGGTGGGAGGCCGGGCTTGCATGCGCTTGGCGTGCACCGAGGACTTGAAGACGTAGCGGAGCGGGTCCCGGCGCGCCGGCCGCCGGCCGCGCCGCGCAAGAGCGAGTCGCTCTTCGCCGTCGTCGAGGTGCCCGCCGCGGACCACGCCGACGGCGGGCGACGAGGTCGGAGGCCGGGCTTGCATGCGCTTGACGTGCACCGAGGACTCGAAGACGTAGCGGAGCGGGTCCCGGCGCGCCGGCCGCCGGCCGCGCCGCGCAAGAGCGAGTCGTTCTTCGCCGTCGTCGATTTGCCCGCCGCGGATCACCCCGCCGGCGGGCGACGAGGTCGGAGGCCGGGCTTGCATGCGCTTGACGTGCACCGAGGACTCGAAGACGTAGCGGAGCGGGTCCCGGCGCGCCGGCCGCCGGCCGCGCCGAGTCGCTCTTCGCCGTCGTCGAGGTGCCCGCCGCGGACCACGCCGCCGGCGGGCCGCGAGGTGGGAGGCCGGGCTTGCATGCGCTTGGCGTGCACCGAGGACTCGAAGACGTAGCGGAGCGGGTCCCGGCGCGCCGGCCGCCGGCCGCGCCGCGCAAGAGCGAGTCGCTCTTCGCCGTCGTCGAGGTGCCCGCCGCGGACCACGCCGCCGGCGGGCCGCGAGGTGGGAGGCCGGGCTTGCATGCGCTTGGCGTGCACCGAGGACTCGAAGACGTAGCGGAGCGGGTCCCGGCGCGCCGGCCGCCGGCCGCGCCGAGTCGCTCTTCGCCGTCGTCGAGGTGCCCGCCGCGGACCACGCCGCCGGCGGGCCGCGAGGTGGGAGGCCGGGCTTGCATGCGCTTGGCGTGCACCGAGGACTCGAAGACGTAGCGGAGCGGGTCCCGGCGCGCCGGCCGCCGGCCGCGCCGCGCAAGAGCGAGTCGCTCTTCGCCGTCGTCGAGGTGCCCGACGCGGATCACGCCGCCGGCGGGCGACGAGGTCGGAGGCCGGGCTTCCATGCGCTTGACGTGCACCGAGGACTCGAAGACGTAGCGGAGCGGGTCCCGGCGCGCCGGCCGCCGGCCGCGCCGCGCAAGAGCGAGTCGCTCTTCGCCGTCGTCGAGGTGCCCGCCGCGGACCACGCCGCCGGCGGGCCGCGAGGTCGGAGGCCGGGCTTGCATGCGCTTGACGTGCACCGAGGACTCGAAGACGTAGCGGAGCGGGTCCCGGCGCGCCGGCCGCCGGCCGCGCCGAGTCGCTCTTCGCCGTCGTCGAGGTGCCCGCCGCGGACCACGCCGCCGGCGGGCCGCGAGGTGGGAGGCCGGGCTTGCATGCGCTTGGCGTGCACCGAGGACTCGAAGACGTAGCGGAGCGGGTCCCGGCGCGCCGGCCGCCGGCCGCGC